CGTAATAGTCCGTACCGCCCACGCCAGCCCCAATTTTCTGGCGTACCAGGTGTAGTCCGTCATCCTGGTCTGACCGCCACGTCTTCTGTCAACCCTTTTTAAGCTGTATCCGATTGCGTAAATTTTTTTAACTACTTCATGAGTGGTCACTAAGTCCCCAATTTCCTGCGTCAGTCGGTCGGCTAATTTCTTGCAGGTTGCCCTGCACAAATTATTCCCTCTAGTGTGATCCCATAACTCGGGATATTCTTTGAAAAGCGGGCTGAACAGACTGTCGGCAATTTTGACCGTGGTGATATAGGAAAAGAGAGATAAATTGAGATAGGAAAAGAGAGATAAATTGCGTTAAATTCAAGAACCTGAAAAATAAATGTGAAACAAAATAGATGAATTAAGAAAACGATAGCAACAAAGTAAGTACAAAATAAAAGCTTTAAATACTAAATTTTTTATTTTAATAATTTGCTGAAAAATTCGGGAGGAAGATTTTTTGAATTCTGCTATTTCTGAAGTAGAGATCGTTTGCGTCACGAGCTAAAAACAGCATGAAGATTGACTTTAAGAGAAAATTAACCCCCTTGAACATCAAATTCATTTACTGTGTTGTCCCAGTGGACTATTTTATCCTTGCCGCTGAACTGTGTTTCAATTGCGGCCGATTTGGCCACATTTTCAAATATAGCAAATTAAAAATAATATAGCGATCACATTAAAAGTAAAAACCTAAAAATTTCAGTTCTTTTTCTCAACAAGCTACCCAATTTTAAATAATAATCCACCAGTCATCCGTAGGGGCACAATAAGTCTCATTATATTTTGAACATCATTTTATAATTATGTTTATGCTTATCTTGTATATACAAGATACTTCCTCAATTGGGTTTTGTTCATTTGGAGCCTAAGGTGATTTATCAAATCTCAGCAAATCCTTCATCATTTTTCATTTTTCCAAACTTGTCCGTTATCTACAAACGCCGATTTCCAATATAAAAAAGCTAATTTATTCTATTGCAAATGTGTTGCCACTTCTAAAATCGTAAAAATTTAATACAAAAAACGCTATAACGCATTTGTAGCTTAACAACACTAATGAAGAGGAGCAAAAACAAAGCGTTATTTTTTTTTTTTTTTTTTTTTTTGTTTGTTTAGAGATGGATTGGACCAGTTAAGTTAATGTTAGATCCATAATCCAAAAAAGCGTTACTTAACGGCAATTTCCATTGTTATTGTTCATTTTCGCGATCTCCATTTGTAAATTTTGATCTGCTCGAAAATACTGCACAAAAAATGTTATTTTCTAAGAAACAAGAGAAAAAAGTCATATTCATGTGAAATTATTTAAAATGTCGTTTTTGAAATTAGATAAGCCCGAAAAAACAGAGACGTTTGAAGATAGTTCTAGATTGTCTCTCAGCATGAACTTAACTAAAGATAAAGATGTAAGGATGACAACGCCACTTCCGACACCTGAGGAAAAGCCTCTATCACCTGCAGCGACGAGTGATATCGCCCAAAAGGAGGCCAATCAATTAATAGAACTGCATCAAATGACTATGCATTTGGAAATTAAATTAGAAACAGTAGTTTCTGGAAGCCCTCTTATCAGCTTACAACCCGATTTGTAAGCAACCAAGAAAGGCGACAAGTATCGAACAGTCAGATTAGTATTAACTTCTTGGATCATAAGTATATCACATCGTATCCATCATAAATCGTTAATTTGTCTACAAAGTTTCTCTTGTGATTGCTATCTGTATCTGGTTTTATTTTTTTGCTGCCTGTCAAATGTTTTTAGCAAAAACGTTGAAAAAGTCGTGAAAATTAACTATTTCTGCAATATAATCTTTGGGCTCCCAAATTGAAATTAACAATATTTAAATATAAAAAATCGAAATTTCAGAAAATTTTCGTAGTACCGGTACGCGCACGTAAAATACAAAAATTGGTTGAACAACAGATAATGGAAAAGCCGGCAGCTTTACTTCTACCACCGCCTACTTATATGACACACTTTCGCGAAATAGTGGTTTGGCAATATGTAATGTTTTTCCGATATATTCAGAGCATGGCCGATTTTCCCGTTTTTGCACAAGCAGAAAACTAATTATTGGTTTGAATTTGATTATATTTTTTTTTTTAAATAAACTTGGCCATGAGGTGAATAGAAAATGTGTATTACAGGATATTTGGAGCAGCCAAGCGACATAAATTGGTTTCGTAAATTAATTTATAATTTCGCATCGTTTAAGCATAAGTTAATGTGAAGCTTTTAATCACGGTATTTCATAACACCGTTAATAAGAAATACTTAGCTGCATTCATTGACTAATTTTCATTATGATCTATGGATTTCATTCACCACTTTAAGTTACTATTTTTACTATACTCTACACCACTTGCGATACAAGGATATATTAAGATTGTACGGATGTGAGCAACAACTAAAACGACTTTATATGGACCCATCTTCTATTATACCGATCTAAGCTTGTCTATCTGTCTGCTTGTTGTCGCTCTCTCATGTTCAACCTACAGGCAGCGACATTTGAGTCATTTTGATAAAACTTGGTACACTAATAAATTTTGAAAATGGTTTGCATAATAAAAATTCTTAGCTTGCAGACGTCATTGAATTCTTTAATTGCGTGGTCCAATTTCGTAAATTCCTAGCAAAAATATTAAAATCGATGCTTTATTAGGAGACAAACAGGTCTTATTCAATTCGACCATCTTTTTTTCCAATATTATTGAAGACTACGATTAATTTGAAGGGAATTTCTTCACTAATACGGCAATCGTCTTTTTTTCGATATTATTTCAGGGTAAACTTTGCTCTTCCGAACTGAGTATACGTTCAACTTGCAAATATCCTTTGCACATACAAGACAGTCCAATCGCAATTTCGTTTAAGTAATCGCAAGCCTGGCTCACTAAATCCCTCCTCTTTCAACTGCAAATGGAACATTTGTCCTGGATACAAAAACCAAGTAAAGTTGGTGAGGTTATCGCACACAAGGTACATTCTCATATGAATAATAAGAATAAAATTGATTTATATGTTCGTGTTTGGCGTTTCAGCTTCTGGCAAAACGCGTCTTTACGGCTTGTAATTCTGGAGAATTACCTATTTGGATAAAAGGAATATTTATAGATGATCAGCCATGTACCGGTTATGGTTTTAGTGTAGCTGATTGTTCGTCGTTTGAGTTAAAAACGAACGGTACACCTAGGATTGAAATTGCTTTCCAGCCGGATTTCACTGTTACACGTATTCCGAAACCGTTTATTTTGAAAACCAATTCGTTTGGATTTGATTACGGCCTTCTGGCACAATTGCGGAACAAAGGCTTGGACTAACGTTGTATTGCCTTGTTGCCTTGTCCTTTTTGGGAATCACGTGTACGTAATGCAGCAATCGTAGTTTTATCCATAATGTTTGCCTTATCCTTGGTGCTTGTCGCCGGCAACTTTAACAGACGAATTTCTTTGGCCCGGGATAAAGCAGCAACCTTTTAATTTGCGCAATATACAATGCGTTCCCATCCGTCTACTGAAACGTCTGGAATAGAGGCTTTTACTGGTAAAACTAAAGAGAAGTCTAATAGTGACGGTAATGGAAACAACGGTTTAAAGAAACGGAACGCTATGCGAAGATACATGTTCCCAGTTTAATCTCATATTTTGGAATGTTGTTACAAAGAATAAAATTCTATCTCGTGTAACGAAACTGAAGTATACATAACAAAAAGGTATAATTATCAACGCTTCATGATGAAAATCAGACCACAACTATAATGTTCTTTTTTATTTTTCATTTAATAATTTTTCTTTAACAATAGATGATTCATTGGGCTGTGCAGAACAGGTTCAAGCACAAAGTTCTTTACACGAGCTTTAAGAAAGCTAATGATTGACTTTGCGTCCTCTCGCGTCTGCGTAACCAAAATCATTTTAGTCAATTTCTTTAGCAACTTAGAAAAATTTTAGTCAATTTAAATCACTTTTTCATGATTTTCAACCAATTTTAGTCAATTTCTTTAGCAACTTCGACAAATTTTAGTCATATAAAATGTCATTAAACAGTCTTAAACAGTTGTAAACACTTTGTTAAAATAGCGAAATTCCGGATCGAAACTATATAAAATGTCATTAAACAGTCTTACACAGTCTTAAACAGTTGTAAACAGTTGTAAACACTTTGTTAAAATAGCGAAATTCCGGATCGAAACTATATAAAAAGTAATGTCTGAATGTTCAGCTTCTTGTGGCATCGGTATTACAAGGACAATTCATCAATCACTTAGGACGGAAACGCTGTCCGCATATCAGCATCGTCGAGAAACAGAAATGCAGGCAACCGGACTGCTTCTTTGAACAAATAGAATTGCCTGATCCCATGTCTCCCACTAAGCAAATGCTCGAAGATATCGAGTGCTTACCTGGGATAAAACTTTCCCGCCGTGTAAGTTTTTCTTTTCCAACTCAATCAGAAGAAATATATCTTTCAAGAAGCCGCAAAAATAGACAGGCAATCATTTTTGAAAGTAGTTGTAATATCCAAAATCTGATTATACATATAATTGTAAATTGTAAATACACGGAGAAAATTAAAAAAAATAAGAAAGTACTTAATGAATCAATTGGTCATTACTTTGAAATGTATATTAGTTACATGAAATTAAATGAACAAAAATTGGCTTTAAAATTTGTATGCTTTAGCATTCACGTCATTTTGCATCACTATGAAAATGAATGCGGATGTGCTCGCCATAAACGTTGCTATGTAATAGTAACTGTGATCATATTCCGCACGTTGTTTGTAAATTGTTTGCAAATGGTCATTACTCGATGCTGCTTGTAACAGATTTTCAGGCAGCAACTGTTTTTCCTTTAAGAAGTTATCGTTGCAGCCTTGATCTATGAATAACTCTATTGGACCGCTGGAGTACGTTTTAGCCAGATAGGTAGAGTCCCATTGTTTCCATAATTTCTGATTGTCCCCTAAGTAACCTTTAAAAGCCTTTTGACCCCAAGGACAACCCAATGGATTAGCGATTAGGGCAAAAGCGGAAACCGACTGATACAGTCCAGGATTCTTCAAAGCACATATTAAAGCACCATGTCCACCCTTGTCTTCATGTCCTATTATCATTGTGAATTTTTACGACCTACTTAACGATTCTTGAGGACACATAAAAAATCTACTGAAAATCAAATCAATCAAGAACAGTTAACTTGACTTTCAACTTTTAACGGTTAAGTTTTTTAACATGTGTTTGAATAAGTTCACCCACTACTATTTAATATTAAAAACTTTACATAGAATTACTTTCGGCTTCGGATTGCCTTGAAATGTTCACACACCGGAAGCGGCAAGTCGTTTAACACGCAACCCATTCGATTGCGACATAAAAGAGCAGACACGCGCTAACAGGTCAAAGTGATGCCATGAAAAATATTTAGCGCATTTATTGATCGACAAGGCATATATGTTCATAAAAATAATACTAATTTATGCCTTAAGTCAGCCTGGCTGCTGCCGTATTAGTAATACAACGTAGCCATCAAATTTATAACTTTGTTTTGATTGCCAAAATATTGATCAAACAGACTCTAATTTCAATACGTGCCTAAATAGAAAAAAACAAAGCAGCGTGGAAAACACATACTTTACGGTATTCAACGGAAGCAGAACAAATATTTCTTTGAGCCACAAAAAAATTCTTTTAAATATCTGAAAAACGGAAAGTATGGACGACCGTACCATAGATTCTATATTTGTAGGGTCTTTAGAATCCCTACCACCGGTGAGTTCAAAAATTGTGCGAATTTTTACCAGTTCCACGTTTACAGGTAAGCTTGGACTATTTTTTTTGCCTTTAAATTAAAATGATTACGTAATATAATTACTAATTACATAAAGATACCACCATGGAACGTAACACCTTAATGGCGAAATGTTATCCACGTATTAAGGATTACTGTCGCGAAAAGCATGGTTTAGAATTTCAGGTCCGTAAAATTAGGCCTACTGTATGCATTATTTTTCGTTTTTGTGTATTTAGGTTGTAGATATGCGTTGGGGTGTCCGCGATGAGGCAACCGATGATCATATGACTACCGAGCTTTGTATGCGTGAAATTAAAAACTGTCAACGTCTGTCTATGGGTCCAAACTTTATAGTATTTCTGGGACAAAAATATGGGTATCGACCCATACCTACCTATATCTTGTCATCGGAATTGCAATTAATTTGCGAAGAGCTTACTTCAATGGGTGTAGATCGAGCTCTTTTGGATTTGTGGTATAAGAAAGATAGCAATGCGGTACCACCAGTTTCAGTATTACAACCGATTTCTTCCATTCTTATCAATTTCAATAACAAACGTGTGCCCAAATTACAAGCGCAAGATCAAGCTGTCTGGTGGGACACTCTAGGGAAAATGCAAAAATTGCTACGAAAAGCTTCCGCTTCTTTAGGGGCCAGCGGTAAAATGACGAAAGATGCTGTGCATAATTATTTCATGTCAGGTGAGTAACAATATTCTTCCGAACTGGCAAGTGTTGTGAACTCCTCTTTTTCTCATGGCCACCATTAGTTACCGAACGTGAGGTTATCAATGGCATCTTAAACGTAAAAAATACTAAAAATCATTGTTTAGCCTACATACGCTACATCAACAACATCAACTTGCAAAATCTAAAGAAAGCGTCATTGTTTGTGGACATTATCAACCGCAGTTTGGACACGGAATCAGCAAAATTACTTGGCGATCTGCGTGATGTTCGCTTACCAAATAAAATCGAAACAAGCAACTTACAAAAATACACGGTCGAGTGGATTGGACGTGAGGGTCTGGATATTGAAACGCATGAAGAATATTTGAATCATTTCATTTCTCATTTCTATAAAAACATTGTAAAATTGGTGGACCGAGCTATGCGCAAAGAAGACTCCAGTGCGCAGGGACAGATAGTCACTGAAATCCTACAGCATTTGCACGCTTGCAATAACTCGGTTAAAGTGTTTTACGGTCGCGAGGAAAATCTCGAACATATCAAGCGTTATATGCTGGGGGATTCAGATAAACCACTTGTCCTTTACGGCGAAGGAGGTTGCGGTAAGACGTCGTTACTGGCCAAAAGTGCTTCTTTGGTAGCGGGCGAATTATTTGCTGATCGCCGACCGTTGAATATTATACGCTTTCTGGGCACCACACCGGACTCCAGCGCTTTGACTCCAACGTTAATATCTATTTGTCAGCAGGTAAATTGGTCACTTGGCCGTCGTTATAAGATTAGATCTTGGCAAATTTTCGGCTACATGTTTGCTTGATCCTTACAATACCAGATATCCTATAATTATATGCTGCCTTTCGAAAACATTCCGGATGATTTAGTGCCGTTAACTGCCCATTTCAAACAGTTGTTAACTTATGCAAGCATCAATCAGCCATTGACTTTATATCTTGACTCCGTAGATCAACTGACTGGTTGTCAAGATTCGAACAATGTTTCTTGGATACCAACACGTTTACCGCCTTACTGTAAGGTACGTTTGGACTCGCACTTTAACTGCCTCGTATACCTTAAAATATGTAATTTTTCAGATTATAATTTCTTGTGCAAATGAGAAATCGAACCCAATCGTTTCCCATGAATACCACGTGCTACGCAAAATGATTGATATTGATGAGAATTTCATTGAGGTTACCGCTTTAGGGGAAGAGTTGGCCATGAATGTTATTAAAATGTGGATGGGAACGGCTTGCCGCGACTTGAATAATTACCAATGGCGCCTAGTAGCGAATGCTATTGGTAAATGTTCTTTGCCGATTTTTGTGAAGCTGGTTTTTGCGGAGATATGCCGTTGGCGAAGTTATACACGACCTCAAGAGACTCATTTGGCGAACAATGTAATGGATTCTATTATGATGTTATTCGAGCGAATCGAAAAGCAACATGGTCGCATATTAGTTTTTCATGCTTTAGCTTATATAACGGCATCCAAGTCTGGCCTTTCCGAAAGTGAGTTGGAAGATTTGATATCACTGGATGACAAGGTACTCGACGATGTGTATCAATACCATATGCCACCCGTTAGGCGTATACCGCCTCTGCTATGGACACGCATACGTAACGATCTGCCCAATTATTTAAGTGAACGCGAAGCCGATGGAGTTAACGTTATGAATTGGTACCATCGACAATTTAGAGATACAGCCAAAGAACGTTATTTCAAAAATATGAACATGGCTTTATACTTTCACTCCATGATTGCTGACTATTATCTCGGCATATGGGGTGGAGGAGTACCGAAACCTTTTAAGTTTACTGAAATACAACGGCATCGTTTTGGCTTAACCGAAAAAGAAGGAGCGGCTGATCGCAAAGTTCCCATACAACCTTTGGTTTTTACCAGCAAAGATGGATCTTCTAAGCGTTATAATTTAAGAAAGGTAGGCATAATTTCTGAAAATAAACTGAGTTTCTCTTTTGAACCACAAAATTGCAGTTTGGCGAGTTACCTTTCCATTTTGTACGTTCTCGACGTTTTAAAGATTTATTTGAGCATGTACTCTTTAACTATGAGTGGCTACATGCTAAACTATCAAGTTGTCCCTTACAAGCGGTTTTGGCAGATTTTGAAGATGCTTCTGCACATACAGACGACAATGAGGCAAAACGTGAACTGATGTTAGTGGCCGATGCTTTACGCCTCGGCGGCGCCATTTTGGCTGTCTACCCCAACATGCTGGCACCTCAACTAATAGGCCGTCTTTTGCCAGAAATCGGTGGTAATCCAAACATTAAAATGTTGCTAAGAGCCTGTGATCACTGTGGCCCTAAAGATTGCGCGCTGATACCGGCGAGTCATTGCTTACATACCCCTGGAGGACCATTAAAGGTATTATTTTATAAATGTTCGAATTTATTCTATAAATGTAGAGGATATTTTTTCTAGTATTCTTTAGAGGGTCATCAGTTTGCAGTATTTGCTTTCTGCTTGACTAGCGACTTGCGTTATATGGTTTCGATCTCCACTCACTTTATAACATTTGATCTTTCAACCTCAGATCTTACAAGGGATGTAAATCCCGGAATTGAGGGCATCATGCAACAGTTGGTTTTGAGCCCAGATAACAAATGGGCCGCAGCTTATTCCAACAACAATCAGACAGTTTTACTCAACATGTTATCCAGTGAATTTGTGGTAATTGATAATCCATTCGAAGAAGAAGATGGATCCCTAAGCAGCCTTTACCTTATAAATCAAAGGTGAAATTTTTATCATCTAACGACTACAATTGGTATGTTTAATCTTTTTCGAAATTTTTGTTTAGCCTTTTTATCAGCTGTAAGCTGAAGTGGGCGCGCTTTGACTTACGGGGCAATTTAGTTGAAATACATATCATAAATGCAGACGATACCTATGCATGGGAAATTCTAAGCATGGACTTCACTAGTCCGAAAATCTACAACGTTATTTTATGGTCGGGTTCAATCAACGAAACCCGTTTACGTTACAATACCTTTCGAGACGAATTAGAAACACCAACTTTACTCTTTTACAGTGCTCTCACTTTAAACAAGTGTGGCGACCGTATTTACGGTTGCGCAAGCGAGGAGAATTATGAAGTAAGTGTATACGAATTGATACAGTGCGAAAATGGAGAAGCGATTGAGTGGATTTTAAAAAACAAATTACCACGTTTTGAAAATGATGAAAAAGAAATGTTACTGCAATTGCGTCTAGATCAACATGATCGTATGTTATTAGGTACCGCTGGAAAAGGCTTCGTTATTTGGGATTTAAGCGACGCCGAAAACGGTCGCCTTTCCGAGCATGCCATGTATTTGGCATTGCCGCATGGTGTGCGCAATATTACCACAAAAATAATGCAATCGAATTCGATTATGATCAGCTCAAAAATGGATTATGCGGTAGCCGGTGTGCGCAAGAATCTGTACGTGTGGTGTTTACGGAGCCAGCAATTGGCCAAAGTGTTGGATGCTCATTTTGGTCGCATCATTCAATTAGAGGCATTGACGATAGGCAATTGGAATAATGTTGTAACCTCATCCATAGATCGCTCTGTAAAGGTTTGGAATATAAACAACATCTTTGAAAAGGTTCACGTGATCGACAGACACGAATTACAAATCGATAGTATAAGGTATACAGTCATGTCAGTTCAAATCGAAAGGTTAGTATAATATTCCAATTTTAATATAAGTCTTTCAGAGGTTGACTTAGCTGTTACGGTTACGCGTAGTTGCGTAGGAGTTTGGGAGACCAGATCAGGTCGCTTGCTCACCAAGTTGGCCGATAGTCCTCTAGGTGCCATTGTTACACACGCTGAAATTACGCCAGATGGCAAATACATAATTGCCTCCGAAACGGGAAAGTTTCTTGTATGGAATAGAGTGTCCGAACAGGTAGTATATCGTGATGATCAACCCGGGATACAACAGATTACTTTTATGGATTATGGCTACAAAGTAATGACTGTATCATGTCCAAATATAAATCAAAAGGAAATGAAAGAAGGTGAGGAACCCAATCGTTTGATGGCCGTTACTATTGTACGAGCTGTGCCTGGTAAGGTTTAATAATCGATCTTAACAAGCGAAGACTAATATTACTCTTCTTCCTTATTTTAAAAGAGGGGGCAGTGCTGTTCCGTTTTGAGTTTACCATGCGTTTAATACCAGGCATACCGTTTCGACAGTCAATAATTTCCGCTGATGGAGCCAACATAGTTGTGTGCACTATTGATAAAACAAACAAAGATTGCCTAGCCGTTTATAGTGCTACAACAGGTAGCTTCGTCACAAAAATTCTCCTAAAAGGCTGTGCCATCAAGGTGAGTTAGGCAAGGCATGTACGAGTTATACATTTACAAAACTTTTTCATAGGAAGTTATGTGTTTGGTACCTATGCCACACAAAGCTAATCAGGTGGCCGTGATCAGCAATGAAAAGGGCAGTATTATAGATATAAAAACCAAGAAGCATGTACGTTCTATTCCCAAATGGGGTGGCAGCATTACAAAAGATGGCAAATGTGGTCTTTACGCTCCCACCAGAGGTGGTCTTGAAATGTTGGAATTACGCAAGGGTAGCACAATCAAAACATTTATACCCAAGGTAGCTGAGGGAGTGTTTTCGGTAATTTGCATATTTACCGAAAACGATGAATACGTTTGCTATTACCATAGCGGTCGCAAAACCATACGAGTCTTCAGGACGAACGATACAGAGCTGATAGCCAATTATCGTTTGCAAGCCGAACTAACAGCTATTAAAAGCAGTAAAGATGGCCGTTGCCTCGTTTTGGGTACGGTAGATGGTTGTATGTCTTCTTTGGTCATAGTCGATGCCAAAAAACAAGAAATAATTGAATATTTAAACGCTTTGCCTTCGCGTGATGAGAATTGGAAGGCGAAATTAGCAAAAATGAAAGCAAAAGTTGGCTTTAAAGCGGCCATACGTGTAGCGTCCATAACATCGAGATTCGACAATAAAAGCTCAAAAGAAAAGGTCGTTCCAAATGGAGAGGAGCCAGCAGAAAATAACAGTTTAGTAGAACCCGCGTTAGAAAATGAATTAGTACAATAAAACATATAAAGAATTGTTAAGCACTTGTTAACGAAACAAAGCTATAGAAAGCACAAACATCGTTTCCTTATATATCTTTCGTTGAGAAAATAAATGAGAAATTGAAAATTAGAAAATATTTTTCTAATAGTTTGTACCAAGCTCTGATCTTGAATAGTCGAATTTTTATATTTCATGCGATTTGTAAACTGTAAATATATACAGCAAGATAAAAGGTGATTTATTATATATATATATTATATTATATATTTATATATATATAAATAATAAATATATATAATATATTTATTATAAATATATAACTCAAAATATAACAGCAACGTCTTACAATTTTTCCGCGAAGTTGAAACGGAACTAATAATGTCTAGAGGAAACATCAACTCATCTATTGAAAAAATCCCTCTTTGCACCATCATATTAACATTCTAGATTTACTTTATCTTTATATTTATAATCATTTTCGAATTTATTTAATTTACGTTAGCACATACCTTTAATATGTTGTATGAAGTATGCAAGGTTTTTAAGATGTACATGCATAAATTTTTTTGTAAGTGAACATTAAAAAATGCTTATCAAGTTTCAGCGGTTTTCAGTTTTCCCTTTTTTTAATTTTTTAACTCTGATAACTTATTATTATAAAAAATTTGTTTTCAATTACTTTACTAATTACATTTTTGCTCAGTACTAATTACATTTAGCTTAATATTAGCTCGTGCTTTCGTTACTCATATAAAAAACGGCCGAAGTAAATCGCGTTCTTCCTAATCTCGATTTTATTTCCGAACAACTTTATTAGCTATTTATCTATAACACGAGCTACCTATTTTTCGTGTTCAGGGAGAAAACAATTCTCTCAGTTTAACATTATTATTAAAAGCATGCATTTTAAACATATGAGTTCCTTTCCTTAGAATGATATATGTACTTAAATTTCTCTATATATTGAACACAACGAAAACATATTTTTGTATATATCAATACCAATATGAAAAAAGTATTTAAAAATTGAGCGCACGGCTGTTTGCTCTCTTAACAAATAGAAGACTAATTGTACCGTGGCGTTCGGGCTAAATTTGTATTTTAAACCGCATAATTTTAAGCAAAATTTTGAATTGATACACAGCCAATTCAATCGAAGGAAACAAAAGTACCGAAGATACAAAACAATGTGACTAAACATGCGTTCCTTTTACAAGATAGCTGCTAACAAATCACTACGAAAATGTACCAGTTGGTTAGCCGAAGAATGGCCACTTTATTGAAATCATTTGTCAATCCCTTAGGGTGTCCTTTCAAATTTGCATCGTCTACCCCCAAACGCCCGTTTTCGTCATTTTTGGTTTCGAGTACACTCTCTTTCTGACTCTGCACCTACCATCTCTTCGTCAGATTACTCGTATAGTTTGAAATTTAAAAAAAAAATTAATTTTATTTACCTCATCGCACATGTCAGGAATACTTTCTTCAAATCAATCGAAACAAAAGTCTGCAGGGAGAGCTTCTAGATTTTTCGATCATTAAGCGTTAGAATTGAAAGGCTATAATCACAGTATATATTGCGATATCTTTTGTCTAAAAAAGTCCAGGCAAATGAGAACAATTGGTTTTGCAATGATTTTATGGTTTTTACCTTGCTGAAGAGAAATTTGATCGACAACAGATTTTTGAAGTATGCTCGCGCAGGCTCTGTGTCCGTTACACTAATATAAAGTAGAAAATTAATTTACAATTATTTGTAAGTTTATAACATGGCACTTTCTTCACGGTCGGGTTGTTTGATGCAATGCACAATTACAATATTTTGCAAATCAACTGAAAAAGCACTACTTAATAAGAGTCATTTGGGGGACGTAGCCAGCGTAGAACGTCTGGTAACCCCTACACAAAGCTAACAGAAATCGGTTTAAATTTTTCCTATCATCTCGAAGGTTTATTAAGAACCGATCTTGATGAACTTAGAAAAGAATCTGGAACACGTCCTTTAGAAACCATACGCTGGACAGAAGATATCTGGCAGCCTTATAATTTACAGACAAAAAGACACTTTAAAAACATTTATTCTTGGAATTTGATAATCTAGGCATGGAGGTGCGTGCCCACGCTAAAGGAGACAATTCGACTAATTCAACTCAATCCACTGTAAACTTTACGAGATACTTCCTGCAAGTGGTCAATCATTGTGTTTATTTGGCCAAAAGCGAAGTTTTATAGCCAAGCTGTCAACTATTGTTGAGCAACTTGATACAAGCTAAACCAGCGGTCAAACCAAACACTGGCATGAATGTTGGCGTAAGTACAGTTTCTGAACTTTCATTAAATTTATTATTATTATTAGTATTATTATTATTTTAGACTAATGAAATAAATTCTTAGACTAAAAAAATACATTGAGCACTAGCAACACAGGCTATTATCATTATTCTAATTTTAGACTAATGAAATAAATTCTTAGACTAAAAAAAAAGGACATTGAGCACTAGCAGCACAGGCTATCGGCTCTAACTTAAATAAATGTACATTAGATAATGAGCATAGTAGTATTAATAAAGTAATATATTGAATTGATATTCTGTTCTGAAGCTGATTTTAGAATGCCCAAAGGGTTAATCGTTCCAAATGCAATACTACAAAGAAAAGTTAAGGCAGTCGCAGAGAATGTGCTTTATAGTGAGAGTTTGTCTACAAATGCAGATTGGGGAGGAAGACTTCTTGAAGATCCACTGGTGAGTTGCCATTGTATGACCAAGGCGAATGCTCGAAAATGTTTGGATCTTGGTTTTCTCAACATTTGTTGGATATAAAGGTGGAGTTAATTGAGGGTTAATTGAAGAGTAGTGTTGATGATGGTATTGTAAATTTCCTTCTGCAATTTTCTCTTTCACTTTTCTTCCAATGTATCTTTGAAGTTCCAACTTTCCATGACATCCTCCATAATTAGAGAAGCAGAAGCAGCATACTTTGCCGCTCGATCAGCCTGCTCATTTCCCAATAAACCGATGTGACTTGGTACCCATAACATTTTAATTTTTCCGTCGGGTGTAGTAATTATATTCCTTAATTTGTTGATGGTTCTCTATCTCGAAGTCGAAGGATTCCGAACAGCTTATAGTATAGACAAACTGTCGGTAACAATGACGGTTTGAAGCCTATTTTTATGAGCAAGGTTCGCAGCGTAAAGGATAGCTCTGGCTTTGCTTGTGAAAGTTGAAGCACTTTCGTGAAATATGTGATTGAGAAGAACCTGTCCTATAGCATCTACCACGGCACAAGCAGGTGGCAGACCAGAACCCATCTGTGCATAAACGACTCCAACTGTTACTCTCTAGTACTTGGTTTTTTTCAGCTATTAGATTCCTGAAGATATAATTTGGGGTATCTTCTTTCTTGTGCGTAGAGGGCGAAATATCAAAAAAGTAGTCTTTCAAAATCATTGGAAGTTTAAGACCACAACAGCAGAAAATTTTTAAGGGAATGTTCAATTCCTTTGCTACGTACAAACAATAGTCAATTGCAGATGATAACTTTCGACTTTTCTTGGCAATAATAATCTTTCTCACATTTTCTTTTCTATACAAGTTCGAGCTTTTTTTTTTTTTTGAAAGTTAAAAAATTTTTAAATAAATGAAAGAGAAAATAAGTAATGAATAACTTTATTACACTGACTTTTTTTTTTGAGAGTTGAATAAATAAATATAACAAAAAGTAATTTCAACAACTTGTTTTTAAAGTTTTTTAATTAATAATAGCTAATGTTAATTAATTAAACTAATTTTAAAGAAAAAAATTAATAAATAATATTTATTCAATTTATACAAACAAAAATCAAGAGCATTCCTCACTAATAACAGCAAAACATTTACAACAACATTTGCAACCGCGTTTAGTTGAAAAAGCTCTAAATAATACAATAATTATAAATTAAATTAATAAAAATATGATAAATTGAATTGATATAAATAATATAGTTTTAAAAATGCTTTTCATGTTGTTCTCTCAAATTTCTACAATTTAGTAAAACGCATAAAATAAAATCTAACAAATGAGTTCTATGGTTACGCAGCATCCTGTTCGGTTAAAGAACTATCCTCTGGATACTATTGTTGCCTGGATCCATTTTCCAATATTTTTCTCGGGCATATGCAGAAAAGTGAACAAAATTTGGTTTTTGTTTCCCCGGAGACGTTGTGCACATGTTCTGTTGGGGAATCCACGTTTAGATATTGGCGGTTGAGGATTAAGTCGTTTTTATTGTTTTTAACAACTTTTTGACCTCTCGCCTCTTCGCAGATATCATATTCATGCTTGGTGAAATCTCGCAATGGGTGACAATTCAGCTGCTCACGGATGTATTGCCTTACTCCATACATTGCGAGCAGTCGTAAGTAACTTTCCTCTGCCCGTGAGATATAGTACATAGCCAGCTCGTCAAAAATTTCTCCCTCTTAGTCGAATGATGCGAAGTCTTCTTCAGCCTCGTCTTCAAGTTGGTAGTCCATGGAAGTCCATGCGGTCGATTAGCGAGTACTCATCTTCCGCTTTCTGTCCGCTTACCAACATGAAGATCTGCCACGACGTTATCTTCTCGATGGTTTGGCTTACCTTATACGTCGTTATTCTTGTACTAGGGGAAGCCTCTAGGAACTCTTCCATGAGCTCAACGAAATTTTTTATCATTTAATTAGCTTCGTTCGCTACAATGTTTGTTTTAAATTCTTTCTTTAAGAATTTGAAGCACTCTTCCAATTTTTTTTGTACCACTGCCAGTTCGCCTTGAAAACGTCCTTCGTCGGAATGAATCAGTTTGCGCTGGAGCCTCTCTTGTTTTACGTTCCTTTATAAAATTTCCCATTTCGAGAAGACTTTCATATTGTATTTGTAGTCAACACTTACCACTTATCACTTGGGTGTGGATCGATGGCACTAAATGCAGGCAATCGTGCAGAAGACGCATTTCTTGGCATTCTCTCGATTTATTTCTCACGTAAATTCCGTTCGGAATAATTTGAATATTGTATTGTCTAAGCAATTTCTATCGCATACCACCGCTTTCACATTTAGGCCGATCTCTTCGGCGATGTCCAGATTTTGCTCCAAGTTTCC